ACAGGAACCAAGAAAGGAATCAGGGAGGTAAAGGAAAAGAAAGAACCTGAAAGAGAAGAACTGTAGGAAACAGGCCTTAATAAGGGAGATATTGATAAAAATTGGGTTAGTTTAAGGAAGGTGGGGAGGGAAGGTTATACAAGGAACCTAGAGGGTGAAGGGAAAGAAGGAGCTCAAGAGAGGTAGGACCATAGCTAGTTTTAAAAACCAGAGGGAACCATATTACTCCTACAACCTACTGACAAATTATACATAGCAGATCAAGAAATATATGTCCAGGGAAGGTTTATCTGAGAACAACTGATCTTTGCCCAAGATTTATCTGCATGACACACAGTAATTAAAATTACCAGACTGGTGGAACTAACCTTATTGGGTGTTTAACAGACATACTTTGAGGCCTATAATAATATGGTCAGAAGGACATGAAGGACACTTGTTGCTCCTTACCCTCCTAGGACGACTAGTTCCAGAAGGACTATGAGCATCTCTCAAAATGTCCTATAATGGTGGTGGGTCACCTGTCCTCTTGATCAAGGAGGCCAAGGAGACCCCATCAGATGGACTTGAACCAGTGTCCAGTCTACAATGAGGAGGGTCAACACAGAGGAATCATTTCCTCCATGCTTCCAAGCGAAGCCAACCATGGTTGTGCAGGACCTTTGACTTATCTTCACATAGGTGGAACTGGTAAAAGAAAAAAAAAAGCAGCCAGGGGCTCCTCCCAAGCCCATGTGACTCCTGAGGAACAGATCCTCAAACGACCTTCAACTACATCAACTCCTTTAAAATTGATTGTTGTGGAAAGATTGTAAGAGCCAGGGAGGAGGTACAAGACCATATGGAAACAGAGTCCCACAAGCTCCTGGGAACCTGCTCATATGATTATATGGCAATGGTGTCAGACTACACAAACCACATGCAAACTCAGGTAGACAAAATCCCTGCATAGAACTGGGAAAATGAACAGCAGACCCCAGTCTTATCTAAAGGAATATTGACAACTGATTGCTGCTAGATGAGGAACAGCTGACCCTCCTAAAACAAAGACCTCTAGATAGGCTGACTAGATTCACCAGAAGGGCAAGTATTGGGGAATGCCTGGGGATGCCGACAACACAGCAGACAGTAGGAGGGATATCAGAGTATATGGACTCTAGTGGGGGGAGGGAAACTATGGACGGGTGCTATCTGGGAAGTGGGTGTAAAAAAATTTAATTTTCCAAAATAATGGAATGTTGCAAATAAATACAGTACTAAGAAACAGAATAAATTCTAAATTAGGATGAAGTTGGTGGTAAGAAGTAAAGTAAATTATTTCTCATGAATAGTTACACAGAAAAATTTCAACAATGGTATTTACTAAGCAATTCATCTTTGTGCAGGTATATGCTTCTTTCTAACTGGAGCAGTGGTGTCTATGTTAAAAGGGAAGATTTTGAATAGTTTCAGTAGTCATGTCTATAAGGATAAGAATTTGAATGTTCCTTTAAAAATATTTCCAAATTAAATGAGTAGTGTCTACATATGGTTTCATATCTTATGGGCTGTTAACTGACTAGGAAATCTGTATTTTAATTTATGTTTTTCATTGCTTGACTATTCCTATGGGCTGTAGTTCTTTGTAAGTGTTACTAACTTTAGTGTTTATTCTTTAAACAAAAATTTCAGCTATTTAAGTAATCAAGTAAAATTGTTACAAGTATGTTTAAAATAACCACAGGCATGAAATTTCTGAGACTTCCTGCGAATACTGATTTATTGTCCCTTAATCTCAAGGAGCAGCATGCCAGAAATTTGAAAATACTAAGGAACTTGCTTCTTTTCACTGTTTGCCATAATTCTTTTTTTTTTTTTGCTATAATTCTAAATGTACCACTGTTGCTGAATAAACAAACTTGTTTTAAAATAAAAAAAAACAGGTAAATGATTTGAAAGGACATTTCTCCCTAGTTGTCTATGTAGCCAATATATACATGAAAAAATACTCAATATATTTGGCTATCAGGAAAATGCAACTCTAAAAATCATATCAAGATTACATCTCTATTAGAATGGCTATCACAAAATAAAAAAATACAAAACTCCCAAATGAACATTTATTTATTCTTTTTGGACATGTATAATCAGTATGAAAAACATTAAGAAGTTTCCTCAAACAAGTAGCATTAGAACTAATGTATGACTCTTGTATATCACTCTTGACTGATAAATCTTATGGAAATTGTTAGCAAGAAGAAAAAGAAATCTACATGCCCATCATTACTAGAGCAGTATTTACAATGGCTCAAATATGGAATCAACCTAGGTATCAATCAACTGACAAATGCACATAAGTATTAGTATATTTACGTAATGTTACAATATTCAGGCATAACCAATAATGAGATAATGTCATCTTCAGGAAAATGACTGAAATTAGAGTATATCATAGCAAACAATAAGGCAGGCAGGAAAAAAAAGTTTTGCCTATTTTGTTTGAAATGTCAAAACTGAAAACCAAACAGTAATACCAGTAAAAGCTCTTGAAGGTAGAAAGAATTAGAAGAGAAGGTAAAAGTGACCAGAGGATGGGTAGAGCAGGAGAGTAAGAGATGACAGAAGGGAGGGTGGACAAGGTCAAAGTGTCAAACCTGCCAAACATCACAGTGAAAACCATTTATATGTTCATTAATAAGTGTCAATAGTTAGGAAAAGTTCCATACTTGTCAAAAGAATGCATGCTGTCAACCAATTTTTTAAAAAAGTATGATGGTGATTTACATGTAAATGAAAATTAACATCATATTTTAAAAATTGGTTAATATACATTATATAAATATTAACATTATGCTTTTAGAAAATATTGGTTGAAAACCTGCATTCTTTTAACAAGTATGGAATTTATTATAATTATTGATTTAAATTCTGTTAGATTATTGTATTGCTTCATGTGAAATACTGTATTTGCTGAGAGACTTCTGTTGTAATTGTAAATTAAAGAGGCACAGAAACAACTAGCAGGAACTGATATATTCACTGTGTTAATTCTGACAAGAAGTTATCACGTTCAGATGCCCATTGCCTAAGAGAGTTTTACAGAGGTGTCTTATAAGATTGGCAGGGGGTAGAAAATACCTGCTCTGTTAAGGAGAATTACCCCTGCTATTTCCTAATATGGAGTTACCAGAGAAATAAGTGTATTTTTTTAGATGAAGCAAAAGGAAGTATTGGCTGGTTGAGAATGCATTTATTATTCTATTATGAGGGTCACTTTTTATATCACTGAAAAATGCATTACTTTTAACATTAACTTTGAGTTACCTATAGCTTGCGCAGCTTCTACCCATACAATGAAATTTTAGCATTGATTCTTGCTCATTTTAAAAGCAAAAATATTTATTGTGTAGGACTATTTTTGAGAATATAGTGATTTATTTTTTGGAAAAATGTCTTGGAAAATTGTATTTATTTTAGCTATATCTGACATATTTTAGCCAGTTAATACTTCTGAGATACACACAAAGATGCCACATCATTCCTGTACTGGCAACATTTACAAGAGAACATCAATAATAGTTGTTTTAACCACATAATGAATTCTAAACCTCAAGGTTAACATAATTCATGTGATAAAAAAGTATCATTTGAATAATCAGTGAAGGCTACCATTATTATTTTGAAACTTTTACTCTGATTTTTTGAGGTGTGATTATGGACTGTACAATTAGGTTTTAAAGTTAATTAAAAGAATCTGCCTCCTTAGTGCAGTAAGCAGTGCGTCAGTCTCATAAAGTTATAAGAGCAACTTAGTAATGTTAATTAAAAAAAATTTTAAAAATAATTTGTCTAGAATAGTGGGTATTTCTGTGAAATAGTAGATGCATGGGTATGTTAAGAAATTTGCCTGCATTTAATGTCCTTCCACATGACACAATGTGAGAGTGAACTGTCAATATGCATGAGTAAGCAGTCACCGCTGAGTTACTGCTAGGCTAGTATCCATCATCTGTTACGTCTACTCTTTCAATATACTCCTAAATTGTTTGCCTCTCTAATCTTTTCCTTCTGTAGTTCAAAACATGATTGTATTTGAATTTTTTTTTTCGGTCAGAAGAAAACCCGAGGGGTAAAGAGATGCCCCAGTGTTAAAGTGCACCGGCCGCTCTGCCAGAGGACCTGGGTTCAGTTCCCAGCACCCTCATGGTGGTTAACAAGTGTCTATAGTGGCAGTTCCAGGGGATCTGATACCCTCTTCTGGCCTCTGTGGACATTACACAACAGGAGTATGCTTACATACATGCAAAAAACCACAAACCGAAAAACAAACTAATAAAACCACTCATATTAACCCACTGTTAATAATCATCTACTTTCAGCCTTCCTTTCCAGTATAGTTTCTGCTTTTATAAAAAATCTTCTTTCTGCTAAATTAAATCTGAATTTCTTAGAAACAGTCCTTGTACCTTTATCTGCTTTTCTTCCTCTGCCTCTCATCCCTTCTCCTAACCCTGGACCTTGCTCAGGTCTCACCATAACTAAGCAAGAATTTTAGGCTCTTTTCTGTGATCTCTGTTGGTTATTTCCTGAAGACAGCAATCCCTCCCATGATACCACAAATCAAAAACTTTACTTGTCATAGTTTATTCAGATCTATAAAGTATGTTCTATGTGGTGCAGAGATCGATTCCTCTTTGTTTCTTTTCATATCCAGTATCTGTTTCTGGTACATAGTACTCACCTAATTTATATTCTTGAATAAATGATATTTTTTATCAGTTGACTTCTGAAGGTCCTAATATAGCTGACCATATCATAAAAGAATACTAATTTACCAGCTTGACAAAAGTGAAATATAGGGGCTTGTCGATGTATGTGAATATATGTCTATACTTGACAGAAAGCTGTATCACACTTTTCATATATCTCTTGCTAAATAAAACAGGCCAAACAGGAGAAGCAAAATCATTTCCCTGAAAATCACAGAGTAATGCAATCAAGGAAAGCATGTATGGTATTACTTTAGGCAGAGGTTTGGCAGGTTTGCAGTGAAGTCCTCCAACAAATTCAGAATTTGGTAAGAAGGGGCGAGGAAATTCCAAGTCCCAATATGTTCGAATGAGCCACATGTCTGCTTTTCCCATCAACTCAGATAATTTTGTGGGTTTTCCTGGAGCAAAACAAAAAATACAAAATGCAGAATAATGTGAGAATTTTGTCCTGAATATAGAATGTGGTTTTTGGAGGTGATTTGAAATAATACAGACAAACATTTTATAATTTACATATTGATTGCTGGTCTATCTATCACTCTATCATCTCTCATCTATCTGTCTATCTATCTATCTATCTATCTATCATCTATCTATCATCTATCGATCGATTTATCTATCATCTGTCGTCTATCTACTTATCTATCATCTGTCGTCTATCTATATCTATCATCTATCTATCTTTATGCAAATATTAAAATACATATATTACATTTTATCACAACTTCAAAATAACAACTGTTAATCTAGAAACTCAGTGCTAAAATCAATGTATCTTACCATAATTTAAAAAATAGTTTTCATAGAATATTTCATCTAATTTTTGCAACTTAGAATCCCTCTCCTTGATCTTTGATACTTCAGATGGATTGTGATAACTTGGGGAATGTGATTGAATTCCTTATAGCTACTATACTATTTGGTTCATCATAGGAGTTTAGTATATTAACTTATATAATGGAAAGTCAGAGTTGTATATTTATCATAAATTATTCGCCTTCAAATTCTGCTTATTCATAATTTAGGTCATATTTTATTTATTTTGAAAGCACAACTAATAAAGCATATCCATTATGCAGTAAAGATTTAGGCTTTAAAATGTAATTAATGTAGATTTTTGAAGTCTAAAATTCTAAATAACCTAAATTTACAGAACTCTGTTTATGGTCTCATGACATTGTTTAATAGTGAAGGGCATTTCTTCATATTACAGATAAATATTTTAATTTATAAGTGAAAAACCTAAGTTACAAAGAAAAACAATTTTCCTAATGTTCCATAGGTGATGGTGTAGAAAAAGGAGCCCTTAATTTACATATCTATGATCATTAAAACACTTAATGACATCCATAATTACTTTTATTGAAGCCAAATAACACACAGGTAAATCTTTTTATATTAAAAATAATATTTCAGAGAAGTATTTGGCTCAGTTTGTAGAACTATTAATTTTAGTTTCTGGAGTATTCTGAACAAATTTATGGTGTCTGCCTTGTTTCTGAGATTACTTGATTACATTCTATTTTTATTTTCTAATTCACAATTAATAGTCACATTCTTCTGACTTTATATTTGTTTAAACATACATTCATGGAAATAGTCTGAATTTCGTAGTGACAATGAAAGATAGGGCTTACCTAGAACTTCACTATAAAACTGATTCCACTTCTTCTCATTAAATGTTTGGAACCAAAAGTCAAAGTATAGAACATACATCATATTCTTTACCCTCTCCACAAATGTCATATGGTCAGTTAATCCTGTGAGAACCATCGGCACATAGGAGGGAGGGAATGAAAGTCCCCCACTATACTTTTCATATGTGTATCCAGGACAGAAGCGAAGTGTGTACACAAACGGTATTTTAAGAATCTCGGCCAGCAGCTCACCACAGGGACCAAATGCATCTGCGAGAACAACATCAAACCTTGATTCTTGTAGTTTTTTCATAAGACCCTTGTTCCTAACTACTGCTTTGCAGAAATTTTCAACAACATCAGAATATTCATTAAAAGATTTTTGAATGTTTGAATAAAATGTCCAAAATGAATATTTTCCAAAATCATGCATCCATTCTGTTATCCATTTTAAAAACATGTTTGCCAGATCATCTTTACTCAGAGATGTAGGGTAAATCTCAAATTTAATAGTAGATGGTTTGCTGGGATCAATAAGGATGGAAGCTGAAGATGTCAGAACAGTTACTTCATGTCCTCTCTCAACAAGTTCATCCAAGATCATCTTTACGTTGATCCAATGACTGTATTCTGTGGGCCACACCAACACTTTTCCACTAGTTCCAGACCTAAAGTAGCATATCAGCTGTGTCAAGAGAAGGACTGAAGACAATTTCACAGACATAGTGATTGAATGCAATGCTTTCTGATTTGCCATTACTCTCTAAAATTTTCCATATTTATATGTAAAGACAAATCAATCAAGAAGTTAACATTTAACTTCTACAATTCCAAAGTACAGGAATAAGATGATAAGCCTGATCATGTGCAAATAAATACATGGAACTTGGACTCAAGGTTATAAAAGTTTGTTTGTCACCTTTAATTTTGGATTGTCTACTACTTAGTAAGATAGAATGTCTTTTTATGTGCAAATCACCTCTCTTAACTGTATTTCATAGTCCTGTCAAAATTGTGGCAACTGAGAGGTTTTGCTTCTGTGGTGTCCTCATGTAGCAGTAAAGAACAAAGGATGATACTGTTGGATCAGCATTTTCCAAACAGCATTTTTAAAAATTTTGACTGTATGTAATATATTAGACTGTACAGTTAGTTCCTCCAAATAGGCATGTTCCATCCTGGAGGGAGGAAGGTATAAAACACATAAAACACAGAGAACTCAAAAGGAAGAAAGAAGGAAATAAAGAAGGAAAGAAAAAAAGAAAGAAAGAAAGAAAGAAAGAAAGAAAGAAAGAAAGAAAGAAAGAAAGAAAGAAAGAAAGAAAGAAAGAAAGAAAGAAAGAAAAAGAGGAGAGGGAGGGAGGGGGAGGGAAGGAAGGAAGGAAAGAAAGAAAAAGAAAGAATGAAAGAAAGAAAGAAAGAAAGAAAGAAAGGAGGGAGGGGGGAGGGAGGGAAGGAATGAGGGAAGAAAGAAGGAAAGAAAGAAAGAAAAGAAAGAAAGAAAGAAAGAGAGAGAGGCCTTCATAAAACTCAGAGGACTTAGGTGAGTAGAGAAGATCTGTTTTCAGAGCTGTCTACAAGGTGTTCAGAGATGAAGTGCCTTCCCTGAGCTTTCACTCATGCTGGCTGGGCTTTTTGATGAAACAGTTGCCTGTGAGTAACTTCTCACCCATGTTCTTGTAATGAATCCAATGTTTAATTCATCAGGATAAACTTGAGTGGAATCATTTGTTTGGTTTTTGCATGATTGTCTTAAATGATGTGACTAGACATTGACTCATATCTTTCTAGGAAAGGTCATTTTTGAAGCCTAGACATGGATGGACAGAATCATTGATGAGTCAGGGAGGAGTGGTTGTGAGGACCTTGCTCTAGGTGAGGTAATATGCAGCTGAAATTCATCTATCTTTCCAGAAAGAACGTCCTTGCATAAGGGAATTATGATATGAGAGAGATGTGATGCAATTCTTACATTAGAATCTAATATGCAAGAAAAATGATAAAAAGAGAGAATAAGATGGACATGTTTATTTGATGTTTCTTAGAGCTAATGGGGAACAGGAGAAAAACTCAAATTTGGTTTGTAATAAAAAGATCTTCATGTGATCCTAAAATGTGGAACCCATTGGAAGAATCAGGTAGTGAGGAGAGAGAACAGGGCATAGACAATACATGATATCACTCAGGTATACCTTTAATATAGATGGAAGCAAAAGTCCTTAATTTATCATGCGTACAGGTGACTTAATAATGGGTTAGTAAAGAAAATTATGAATATCATAGAATCAATTTTATCTGAACTGCTTGAATTAGGAAGACTTTTAAAGAGAAAGATCAATATACTTTTTAGCCTGACATATGTAACTGGGGGTTATAGGGGCAGATGAGCTCAGGCTGAAATTCACGTAAGCAGAGAAATCATTTAACTATTTAACTATTCACCTCCTTCCCCAAGACACCCTGCATAACTTAAGGCAAATTGAAGGAAATCTGTCCCTGATATACTGACTCACATGAGCCTTTAGGAACTCTTAGTTTTTGTCATTTGAGTTCCCCAAGAATATCAGAAACTGGAATATATGTAGAGGAAGGACAAGCATTAAAGATGGAGTTGCATGTGGAAAAGATAGAATTTGATGCTTAGTTTTGCAGGATCTATGGGATTGTGATCACAGGAGAGTTCATAAAAGGACTTAGTTCAACAGATCCCTTCACACAGTTATGGGGCTTCAGTGTTTTTTTGTTTGTTTGTTTGTTTTTTGTTTTTTAAGTCTCTTGGTGGGATGCATTTTTTTAAACAAAAGTGTTTCTGGTAGATCTCACTAATTTAGACCAGCATGTAAACTGGATTTGTGAGGAAGCAGTCAGCTGGGGATCAGATAAAATCGAAAGTATAATAATGGGGTCTGTATAATAGGTCATTGTTGACCCAATGCAGTGCCCTAAGATAAGGAGGACAGACATTTCAAATAGAATGGCTGTGGATTATACAGAGAAAAGTAACATAGTGTTTCCTACGCAGCCACAACATTGCACCATTCATTTTAGATAGTATCCCACAAACACTGATATTTTCGTAGCACATTTGGCCATAACAGGAACTTTTCATGTTGTATTATCCTTTTCAATTAAAAGTAAATGCCTTAACTACTGAATCCAAACACTAATTGACACTTACTTGAAGAAATATTAGTATTTTGGATAGAAATGCAGACATCATTAAATTACACAGTGTTGTGATTTCTAATTGCTTCTAGGCATCTCAAAGACACTGTATAGACTTACAGACATTAACAGAAAGCAATACAATGTTAAGATTGTACTTGGACCAGGAAGTAATATTAAGAAGATAGTAGAAATAGCTGAATAAATCATGCAGTTATTCATTCCATTTAATCCCTATACCTTGACTCGTATTGGTTTTTTTATAGGCCAATTCAGTGAACCCTTTCAGGTGTCCCTTAAGACAAGAATAGTCCAGCATTGACCAACTTTTTCAATTATGTTTACAGCTCAAAAAATATCAGCTCTCCCTAGTGGCTAGGATGCTGCCAATGACTGAAGCTGGAAAATGAAGAGAAAAGGTGAACATGGGTCCTGCTTTTGAAGAGGTCTCATTGCATTGTAAATGTGACCAAGACTCTGCTTCTAACACATTAGATTAACAGATACTTATGATTGAGGAAGGAGAAAAGAATCTAGAAAATTGAAAGGAAATAAACCTGGTATAGGAATAAGTTCAGAAGATCCTAAATTTTCAAGTTGTATTACCAATTTCTTTTTATGATACAGAAGACACTGAATATATTTGCTGTTTTGAAGGTATTTGTGAACTTTTTAATGTTTTCTATCTGATATGTATTTCTAATCATATAAGAGAATATGAGATCTTTTTCTTCTTTTTAAGCTGTAGCAATTTCTAAAAACTCCACTGTTAACAGTTTTAGCGAATGTTTTTCCCATCACAGAGACAGAACAAGGCATCAAGAGGTTGATATACAAACCTTTATACATACAGAGATGCAGATGTATGTACGTGTACAGGGAGTTTTCTTTTAAAAAATATATTTAATAACAACATAATTGGTAGAAGCATTTCATTACAACAGCATTGGCATAGTCAATAACAGTTTCCAATAACAGTTTGCATCTCTTTCATAATTGGCTCTAACTTTTAAGTTCACGGTGTTGAATTAATACATTTATACATTATTGTACTCAATAAAACCCTATAAGATATAAAATTGAATGAGGTTTTAACCTTTAATAAAGATCTCCATTTCATTTTAAAATATACTGTTTCATGCAGAAAAACTCATTTTAATACAACTAATACTTAGATATTTGGACATGCATCTCTAATTTCTACATACCTGATTATTAATAGTCACAGTAAGTTATTTTCTGAGAGCCTGTGTATAGCTAAAGGCTACATAACAAGAAACAATGCCAGACAGGAGATACCCTCCTTTGTGTTGTTGGCTAGTGTGGCCCAAGAGACTCCCAGACAATAACCCAGCATAGAACTGGGAAAATGAACAGCATATCCCATTCTTATCTAAAGGAATGTTGGCAACCGATTGCTGTTAGAGGAGGAATAGATGATCTTCCTAAAATAAGGAACTCTAGATAGGCTAACTAGACTCACTGGATGGACTTGCACTAGGGAATGGCTGGGGGCATTGACAACACAGTGGACAGTAATAGGGATGACAGAGTATATGGGCTCCAGTGGGGGGAGTATGGGAGGGTGCCATTTGGGATACGGGTATAAATAAGAAAAAGATTGTTTGGGAGGTTTTGTATGAAATATAGACACACAAAAATGAGATTTATTTGAGGAAGAAACATAAAAATTTGCTTCATGTTAATTAGTAGATATGAAAAACATTACCATTGAAATTTACCTGATGAATTTACATCCATGCTCAGATGGTAAGAGATCTTTTTTTATACAATCATAAAGTTGCTTATAAGACTAGTCATAAACCATATTGAAGATGAAAACTTAAAATTCCTATTCCTAGAAAACAAAAAAATGTTATCCCTGTATGTTTGACTTGATTACAAATTTCAGTGTCTCTTACTTATTTTGCTACTAGGTATGAAAATGACTTGGATCAATAAGACATAGTATTGGTTTGTTTTGGTCTACTTGACACAACCTACAGTCACTGGAGAAGAAGGAACCTCGATTCAGGAATTTCCTCCACCAGAATTGTTTATGATCATGTCTGTGAAGCATTTTCTTGATTGCTAATTGATATAGGAAGGCCCAGCACAGTGTGAGTGGTGCCATCCATGGGCAGATGCAACTGGGTTCTATAAGCAAGACGGCTGAGCAGTCCAGGCAAGCAAGCCCGTAAACAGCATTCCTCTGTGGTGTCTGCCTCAGTTCTTGCCTCACTCAAGTGTCTGCCTTGAGTTCCTGTTTTGAATTCCCTAAGTTATGGTTGTGGCCTGGATTGTAAGATGAAATAAACTATTTTTTAATATCTTACTATTTTTATTTAATGTGAATGCATGTGTTGCCTGCATACATGTAAGTGCACCAATATCGTGCAATGCCTTTGGAGGTCAGAAGAGGCCATTGGATCCTTTGGAACTGGAGTTACAGACAATTGTTAGCTGCCATGTGGGTGCTGGAATTTGAACCTGGGTCTTCTATAAGACCAGTCACTGTTCTTATCCACTGAGCCTTCTCCGCAGTCCACAATAAACTCTTTCTCAAATTTCTTTT